GTGTAATACTCACAATATTTTGACTTGCTGACATATTGATGTCATACTGTTACCCTCGGCAACAACTTATTATTACTACAAATTATTACAGACTCCAAGGTGGTTCCAAAAAGAGGAGCAGCTTCAGCAGTGTGGAATAAACTGTGGCGTCCTGAATGTTTTATGAACAGCCCCGGACTTCTGAGACTCTTTTTTTTTTAGCGAGTTACCGCTCAGAGAAAACTCATTCAGTGGCTCCTCTGGCAGCAGCACAGCATCTCTTCCTCTCCTCTTTTGCTGTATGCACACGGAAGTAAGTGTCGTCAAGTGATTTTGTCATAAACTCTTGGTGATGTAAACCTACCTGATGCTTATGTCTCAACAGAAAACCTACATATATGTGAATGTGCAATAGTTACAGTAGTATAACAGCATGTCACAGGTTACAGTGTGATAACAAGAGTGATGACATTTTTCCAAAAGAGAAGGAAATCACCTGTTGATTTTTATATATATACATACACACATATATATATATACATATATACACACACACATATATTTATAGATCCCAGGAGACATTTTTGTATTTGGGAGCTGTTTAAATATGTAATTTGTGATAGATTTTATTTTGTTGAACTACTAATATTGCATACAGAATCTGAATCTCCCTCTGTGTTACTGTTGTTATTTACAAGAAATGAGAGATCATTTTGTTTAGTTTTACTGAATATTTGAAGGAAAACTGTACAACTATATCATTTATTCTGTTGTATTTCTATGCTCTTACATTAATAATAATAATGATAATAATTTTTTTTTTACTAATTTGTCATTTCATGAAGAATATGGTTATCGCAAAAATAGCCTGAAATACCGTGATATTATTTTAAGGCCATTTCGCTCACCCCTTATACATAGTGTATCATATTGTGACATGTCGGTCAGTTGACTAAACGTTGGTATTTGACGAGTTGGGAGTGAGAATATGTTGACATATACATTAGCACATGTACACAAGATCAATAATACATGAATCTACATGATCACCATACACCCTGCTGACACTGTGGGGTACAAGTAAAACTGCAGAGGAAGACTGCTTGGGAATCGTCTTCCTGATATCCCATTTTATTCATTCATTTATTTATTTAACCAGGAAGTCCCAATGAGATTGAAAATCTATTTTACAAGGAGAGATCTGGCCGACATAGCAGCCAATCAAAACACAATTAAAATGCAACAAATACAACATATAATACAAAAATCCAGAATGAAACAACAACTATTCAAATGTGGTGGCCTCTCAAGAAAAACAAGCACCACATTCTTTATAATGTCCTTGAATTCATCAATGGATAGAAGTGTTTCTGAAATGTTTTAAAGTCTCTTTTTTCTTCCAGTCACACAAACAACACTTTTTTAACAAAATATGACCATTTGCAGAAATCACACGCAGCTGCCAATACTGCTGAAGCCCTCTGTTGCAAGAATTTTAGAGCTTCAGATGTAAATCATCATCTCCTCATCCATAATATTCTACTAAATCTATGTGGGAGAGCGAACTACTCCACAAGAAAGGGGAGCAATGTTTTGGAATTCAACCCACATACCAGAGCTACTGCAGAGATTCAGGAAACAGTCACATTCCAGTAAACACATGTGGAATTACGAGGGCAAGAGCTCCTGGTCACCAGCCTAGCCAAATATTATCTCATACAGAACAATATCACCCCCCTCCCTTTACATAGCAGCTATTGGCTGAGAGGGAGGAAGTGATGTATATTGACTTTTCATTTGTGTCTTGCTGACTCTGCTGACAAAGGTACCAAACCACTTCCAGCTGCGAAACCTAGAGAAAACAACCACATTCTGCTGAACATGATTCAGCTGCATTTTGCTCCTCAAATTAGGTTGTTCATCAAGCACTTCTGCTGCTTCTGTTGCCGCCACAATTGTGAGTCATGCAGTGGTTAAAGTAGCTAAATGGCACTCACGCCATTATCACAGTAATATTCCACTAAAATGATTAGTACATTACATGTAATATAACCAAATGAGGCCTACAAATGACATAGCTGCGCACGTTAATGAGATCCATGTACACAATAAAATAAACATTATCCATCTATTCCTGCTGATCTCCTCCGCATTAACACATGACCTCTGCAACGTGAACATTCTTGTCTAACAATACCAATCACCCTCCACTATTTGTCTATGTATAGAGTGTGTCTCCGCCAGCTCGCACCTTGTCAGTCATAAAAGCAGTGGGAGAGGGGGGAAGGGAGGAGGAGACGGAGGAGGGGATAAGAAGAGCGCCATTACAAGTGTTCTGGACCCGTGTCTTCCTAGGGTGAATAATTACGTCTGACATGTCTTGAATAGGGAGGGACATTATCGCAGTGATCCTCCGTACCCCCTCTGTGTGTTCCCTTGCACACACACACACACACACACACACACACACACACACATTAGGGCCCCTCTGAATGATTTAGGGGGTCTGTTAATAATGCAGGGGCTCCTACAGCTAATTAGGTAAGTAGCAGAGGGCGCCGGCTGTGACGCCTCAGCTCACTGATACGAGCTGTAAAGGAATGAAGCATCGACTGCGCACACATGCTCGCACACAGTTTGGGTTTATGTTTCACCACACACACACACCCTAACCTCAATAATAGCCCTGATTGTTTTCAAAAGGGCTGGATTAAATTTGTGCTTACGATTAAGTTTCATTATTGATCACGGTGCAAAAATGACGGCCTGCAGCAGCAGCTTCCCTGCTCCTTTTATTCGCATACATTATCAATTATTAAGTGGGTGAGGGAAGGTAATAAGTAACAGGTCTGTGCACTGTGGCCCTTTGGTATTTTGACAAGCAGCATCAGAGGGGCTGAAAGGTAACAGGGATCTGTGTGCTCCAGGAAAATCAATAGAAAGTGATTATCTTGAGAGGGAACAAGTGGGGAGCCAAGGTGGGCCTTGTCACGTGTACAATCTCTCTCTGCCTCTCGCTGGCGCCGTAGCTGTCAGCCCTGTAAGTGCAGTGTCAGGGTGATTAGAGAGCAGCGCGGCCCAGACAGAGCGCAGCCAACCTCCAGACAAGCCCTCCAGAGACGAGCGCCACAACAAGCCTCAGCCCAGGGTCAAGCCTACTTTGTCAGCCTCCCTGCTCGCAGGATGGGCCCCTTCAGTGCACAATCAGGAACCATCTTGTATAAGAGATTGCAGGGTCAATGATATATAGCTGCTTTATGGTACCTTCAGGGGAGAAGCAGTTTTATTTAAAGGGCTGTTCCACCCAAAATGCAAAAAACACATCTTTCCTCACTTATACCCAGTGGCATGTCAACATGCAGGTGATTTATTTGCCAACGCTCTGAGACATTGCTGAGATTTTTGCCTCCACCACAACACAGTAGAAGTGAATGGAATTAACTACGTTCTACTTAAGAAATACTTCTCTCTTAACATCAAATCAGCTGAGTCTGTTCTGCAGTTTAAAAAGGTTGTTAAAAACCCACCTGTACAGACTGGCATTTTGATAACACTGACAGATTTTGTATGTGCATGTATGTACATATATGTAGCCTTTATGTGTATGTCTGTGTATTTTGACGGGTATGTAAGTGTATATATGTGTATGGATGGACATATGTGTATATGTATATACATCTGTATAATTCTCAAATTGCATTTTCTGTGAACTTATTTGTTTTTCATAGTGTATGGTGCTGTACTGTACAGCACTTTGGAACTCTGGTTTAGAAAAGCGCTGTAGAAATAAAGTTTATTATCATTATTTATTATTACTCACAGTTGTCAGTGTGTTCAGTGGATTATACAGTGTAATGAGGGTGCTTTTTTCCTGTACAAACTAAATTTCATTCAACTCCATTGTATTGGGGCAGTGGTTCTTCACGGTAGGCCGCTGCAGGGGGGGCATGGATGACCAGGGAATAAAATACAGAGTGAAATAAAGATGAATAATGCTGATGTCTTTATTTTACTAAAATAAAACACGGATTATTATTTTTTTTAGGTGCTTCCCCATTTATTGTTAAGGACTGATTTGAGGTTGAGGGGCCACAAACTTTTATCTATTTCTAAAGGGGAGAATGACAGAAAAAAGTTGGAGAACTACTGATATAGGACATTGTACAGGACCGTTTTCCTTTACAAACTAAATTTCATTCAACTCCACTGTATTGGGGCAGTGGTTCTTAAACTGTGGGTCACTGCAGGTGGGGCGTGGATGACCAGAGAAAAAATATGGAGTGAAACAAAGATGAATAAGTAACTTTATGTCACTAAAATTAAACATGGATCCTTTTTTTATTAGTTCCTTCTTTCCCAATTATTGTTTATGATTGCTAAAACATTTGGGGTTGGGAAGGCACAAACTTTTTTTGGCTTCTAAATGGGGGGAGTGACAGAAAAAGTTTGCGAACCACTGATATAGTGTAATGGAGGACCTTTTTGTGCTTTCCAAATTAAATACCATTCAACTCTATTGTACTGGGGGGAGGCGTAGTACTCATGGGTGCATATCCCATAAACTACATAAATAAAAACAATGCAATTACACTTAAATAGCATGCTTTTTGTATTTTTGGATTAATATACTGAAAGCAAACTACATTTCAAACCATGAGTATAAGGTGGAAAATACAGTACTATATTAAGGACAAAAATTAACACATAAATAGATGGGAAGAGTAGGTAGTAAGTACTCCATCTGTTACAAGGAGAGGCACAATGAATGAAAATGAAGGTCGTTTTTTAAAACATGATTTGATGACGTAGACCACATATCACCTGGGGATGTAACGTTAACTTTTAGCCAGCTTCTCAGAGTGCTCCTCTGCTAACAAAACTACAAGATAACCTAGTAGCATCCTACAGTTATGACAATATACAACAGCATACTTTAAAAGCTGTGGCGAAGAAGCTACCTTCAGTCTCTTAACGCTCAGCAGTTTCATTAAATATCCACCGTCACAGGCCATAAAGCCTACCTTGTCTCCAGGGTCATTAACTGTCGCTGATACCTGGCTTTCGGACGGGAGAAAATGTTTGAGCACATACAATGTAAACAAAAGCGTCCACGCGAGGTTTGGGTTCAGTCCACCTGATTGACACACCTGTCGTTAGGTGTGTAATTAAGCTACGTACGTTGAGAAAGTCACGTAGAGGAAAGTTGCGCAGTTGAGATTTTTTTGGGCAACCGGAAGTTAGTTTAAAATTGGTACAAACTTTAATACTTTGATTCCACTTCACAGGGACTGTCTTGTAAAGCAAACAGATATAACTACATCGATTAATATGAATTTAATTCTGGGGAGAGGGGATACATCTCATGACAAGATACAAAAACTGTTTTAAGACAAAAATAATCTGATGACTATTGTGAAACTAACTTCCTTATGGTCAAGTGCAACTACAGGAGCCTGTTTGGCCTTATTACTTTTCTATATGGGATGTGAAATGTGTTGTTGCTGTTTTGTTTTTATTTTATTTATTTATTTATTTATTTGGTGCTGGTTACAACCCATTGCCACTGGATGAATGACCGGATGCTGTTACTTAATTTTTTAAATATTTAATATATTCCATTAAAGGGTCAACCCAAAAATCCCATACAACATAGGATACTTTAATATTTTATTTTGAAAGGCTTAAGATCCTTCGCCAAAAAAGAGTTTATAAGAACTGAAGGTACACGTGTAACAGGGTCAATTATACAGCAGCAATATGTGTAACAATATCAAATGTACATCTGTAATATTAAGTGTTATAATTACACAAAAGTTGTTTCAGTTGTTATTACCTGACTCACTCAGGTCTCCATAGTTAATATGTGGAACATTTTATACTCAGTTTCTGTACCCCACTTGTAAAGGGGTGTCTCCTGCCTTACCTCTCCCCTTTTGCTGTTGTGCTCCATAGGAGAGGTAAGCTGACATATTGCTAACATATTCCTGTGTCTCTTAATTTGTGTAAGGTCTCGAGTCATATGGTCGTAACTGATGGAGGATTTTGTTTTTACCTCTTTCTGTCAGGTGTGTTTTCCTGTGTTTTATTGTACTAAATTGAATGTAACATGGCCGTCCTTTTTGCTGTTGTCCTCCATGGGAGAGGGGCTCGAGTTATATGGTTGTAATTGATGGAGGATTTTGTTTTTACCTCTTGCTGTCAGAGCTGTCAGGAATAAACGGAGATCACCTCCAAAGATATCCACGGTCTGGGCCTCTTCATACCAACACATACAGACAACACCAGAGTCCACCGGTTATAGGCTATACATGTATTAGCATTATGTACCTTTCTCTGTGAATGCTTATTTGTTTGTATAGCCTATGTGTGTATGTATATGGGTTTTTGTTTGTTTGTGTGTATGTTTGTTTTATATCTATGTGTGTTTATACTATTTTACTACTAAATTTGGCATTATCATTCACCATATAGATGTCTTTTTATATATTTTGTATAAGCAGTATAAGGAAGTTTGGGGGGATTTTTAAGGAGAAAGATTTGTTGTTAAATGTTTGTGAATAATACATTTTTTTTTCCAATAAAAATGTGTTTAAAAAACAGTTATTAAAGTTATGAAAAATGCAATTTATTTGAGCAAGAAAGTAAATTTTGGGACTAGGCTAGCTGTTCCCCCCATCCTCCAGTCATTTTGCTAAGCTATCAAATCCGAAATTAGGCTCTGACATGAGACTGATATTGATTATCTCATAGCTTTTAGGGGGAACAGTGAATATAACTACAGTCCAATTATGTTGAACTATTCCTTTAAATCGCAGTCTTTAGTCTAGACACTGCAACTTAAAAAAAAATCCTGAGAGATGAAGAACACCTACAAACATTTCTGCTACAGGGCGGATTATTTTGTAATTCCTTTATCATGGAGGGTGGTGTGTGTATGTGTGTGTGTGTGTGTGGTTAGGAGACGAATTCGTACAAGGATATCCACCATATAATCTACATTTTTTCAATGATTCTTTTTTTTCCTTCCAAAGTTCCCTGTAGCGCACACTTGTTGACAGATTGCTCATTAGTGTGACACAAACTTTCAGCACCGTCTGCACTTTCTGGAGTTCACCAGTTCTCTCCCATCCCACAGCATAAGGGAACGCCATAGCCTGACCGCACTCTACCTGTATGTGATAGCTGTGGCCCTGGGGGCTGACAATATCTAATCACAGCCTCAACAGGTGAGGAGAGGAGACGGCGCAGACAGCATGGCACCACACGGAATTCCTACACTATCATAACGTTGATCAAACCACACACACAGTATCCATGATTCATGTTAAATACATACTGCTCTCTGCTGCGATGCTAAATATAGCATATAATGCACATATTCCAGCACACATGGTAGGCCTATCGCAGTACATTATTCTGTATTATGTTACAGCGTGGAGGCATTTACTGTCAGCGTCCATGGGATCAAATCCACAAGGATTTATAGCAAATGCAAGACAAAAACCACAGTGTTCAGGCATGCGTTCAAGTGTACACAAACATCATTGCATTAATCTTTATTCATTTTACGATGTGATGTTCCCCAGCGCGGCGTTTGAAGTCGCCTGACCTCGTCCTCACCTCGGCAGCACAGAACCTCGTCAGACATAAAAGCCGTCGGAGGGGGCAGAAGAAGCCAAACCTCCCCAGGGGAAGGAAAAGCAGAGGAGTGGGAGGAGATGGCGGGAGGAGAAGAAGGAGGATGGGTGTCACTGTCTCTACAAAGCCCCCTTATCCTCTAGATATCAAAGCGTTGTACTCCCGGCATAAAATATTGTCCGAGTGATATGACTCACTACGGGGGAGAGGTTGTCCGATTCCAGAGTGAAAACAGGAAGAAAGAAAGGAACGAAAGGAAGGAAAGAAAGAAAGAGTTTGAGGATTATAAAAAAGCAGCGGGGGGATTTCATGTGGTTTTGCAAGGGCGCGTGTTCTTAAAAGATGTTTTGGATATCACACAAAGAAAGTATTGTGTGAGGCCTCTTCCTCGCTGAGGTGAACTCAGTGTTTCAGAGATGAGCAAAACAGAGAGGACACGAGACAGAATCACTGGTCTGTCCTCACACAGTCGCCGAGATGATGTCCGCAGCACCCAAATGGCAAACAGGGAAGTGACAGCGTGAAACAGTGGTGAATAAAAATGCATTGTTGTAACTTAGCATAATAACTAACTTGTGGCCTGTGTCTAAGGCAGGCACCAAGTGTTCACACTCTTCTCCTTTTTTATTTGCTTTCTAAAGAGGAAGTATTTAGGATGTAGGCCAGATGGGTACACAGCGCTATTGTATGGTTGACAGAGAGATGACCTTGTTGCGCCTGTGCGTGTGTGTGTGTGTGTGTGTGTTTAATCAGACAGAGAGGGGGGATTAGAGACCAGGCACCTGGCAGGTGGAAACAGTCTGTACTCATCTGATGCCCTCCTGTCCTTCTGCACTCACACACACACAATATGTAACTTGGTCATAACTGTATTGTCATATTACAGTGCGTACAAGCACCTGAATTGTATCTTTGTTTCAGATTGAGAGGCCGTGCGGTGAGTCGCCCCGTGGCAGCCCCTTTTAAGTCAGGGAGAAATGAAATTACACAAGCAAGAAACTTGAAGCAGGATGTGAAATGCCTGCAGAGAAACTTGTTTCTTGAATGACTTTCTCCTGTGGCCTGGGAGTTCCCTAATTTTAGAGTGAACTACAAGATAGGAGGAGACACTTTACTGAGCTTCAGGCTATGTTATGTTGTATAAGTTGTATTAGAAGAAGAATTTTGCCTGCAATTTCTGTTTATCCTCTTCTTAAAATCTGTGGTGAAGGTTTAGGAGGAGTTCCTGCAAAACACTTTTGCGAGGTAAATTAATCTGACAAACATCAAGCTGAAAAATCATACAGCTCCATCCCGACTCATGTCAGCCTTCCCAAAAGAGTACTAAGCACCCCATCTGTTATGGCCTGCTCAAAGATAGTAGCTCAAGTGGAGTCATCAGTGTTAAGTTAAAACAAACACAGTAATTACCCTAATTAAGATCTGGCAGATTCCTTTAGATTAATCGTAGCCTGCATTAGATACCGGAGAGGTTGATATCAGAGGAGAGAGAAAAGAGGATTAGATGAGGTCAAGAAGAGGAAGGTGAGGGAGAGACAAATAAATCGAAGGGGAATAAAGGAAATAAGTTGTGAAGAAGAGGTAAAGGATGCGAGGAGAGAAAGGAAGGAGGGAGGGTGTGCGTCTGTGCAGCACGTCTGCAGTCCCGGTGAAAGGCGGTGATAGAGGAGGGCTTTTTTCGGCTGCACCGGGAGTAAATGGCTCTGCGGGCGCCTGTCACTCTGAGGGGCCAGCATGGGACGATCAGCGATGATGACGGGGGCACGGACCTGTGTCAAGATGCTGAACCCAGCTGTCAATCAAACGGCTCTGCCCTATGGGATGACAAGGATGGGCCTTAATCCTGCTGAAGAGAAAGAGAGAGGAGGGCGAGGTGGAGTGATGGAGAGGCAGGAGAGAGAAGTTAGACAGGGAGAAATGAGAAAAGACCAGACAGAGACAGGCGGACAGAAGGAGAGAGTTGGTAGAGAGAAAGAGGGAAAGCAGTGAGTAAGTTGTTTGCAAGATGATTATTTATTCAAGGAATGTACTGATGTCATTTAACTTCAGGGATGTCAACCAAGCCACACTCAAGTCTGGTGGGAAGTAACGTTAGTTAGCAGCGCCACTCATTCGGCAATTACCACTTGTAACGTCATTGTAACCCAACTGTGTTGCTGCGAAAACATTCTGCCCACCCGTTCATCTCCCCCCATGTCAACCCTTGGAGTAATGCTGTCATCACACGACAAGCAACACTGCAACAGCATGACCAGCTACAGTATGGGTCGCCATTGATATGCTGCTCAAATGCTTGTTGACATACTTATGCCCTGGCTTGTGTGTGTCTGCTACTTGCCACAAACAACCCGTTCTCACTCCAAAGTCATCAAAATCCGGCGCTTGGGCAGTGACTTGGGGCGTCAGACACTGAAGAAAAAAGCTGGCCTTTAACCTTGGCATGATACGTGGCTAGTCACCAATATGATTTAATGGGTTTAACCAACACAC